CACGATTAATCGTGATTAATTTTTTTGACAATATTGCCCAACCCTAATTCGAAGTCTGTACTTTTCACTCGAGAGTCAGAGAGGGTGGATCTTTACAGGTAGAGTTTTTTCTTTCTCCTAAACTTTATTTAACTCAGCCAGCATTGACAACGCTCTGCGGGTGACCTAAACGGCTCCGCGACACGGCGAGGGACGCATAAATCGCGCGACACAACGAATCAATAATGAAACTTGTTGCAAACGCCTTTAATAATCGATTTTATCGATTCGTTGTTGCAGCCCTAGTCTTATTACTCTAAAGGATATTTTGTTGCTAAACTTTAGTTGTAGAGTAGAAAACGAGCCCTAAACAGTCAACAATGGTAGTTAGATTACACAAACAATAAAAAGGAATGATCCCGTTAGTTGTCTTTTAATCATTCACATGACTGTTTGTCTTCAGATGCTGCTCCACCTTTGCCAGTAAAAGAAAAGCCCTCGCTTCCTGACATCTACCCCTCTAGAGCTGTTTACGGTAAATCTGGATCTCAGTATCATGACGTCAGAGTGCTGATTGGTGTTTTATTTTATTTTTTTTTAAAGCTGTTGGCACATTTTTCATTGAGAGTAATGTTCAACTCCTCACAATGTTGCAGTCTTAACGGGTTTGTAATTTTTACTTGATTCTTCTCAACCTTTTCATATTTGTTTTGTGATTTAGAAAGAAAGAACCCGTCCAACGTTCAGATTCCTCACGCCGTCAGGGATCAGCTCGCCAAACTGATGGACAACCACCCCGAGTTCTCTAGCTGTGCCAGCACAACAGCAGCCTTTATTATCCAAACCTGTGAGTGAAGACTGGGAGGTACTTTTTGAAAAACTTGTAGCTCCATCTGAAAACGTGACGCCAGATTGGTGTGATGATGATGGGGTATGATAATAACAAACAACACTTAGCCTGGTGGAGGAGCATGTAGGGCCTTGTGGGAAACCCTGATGTGTTTTTGCATGGAGGAACTTGGTGGTGCAGCCCTACGGCCAAAAACATCATATTTAGGTCTGAACTCCTCTGTCTCCTGTTAGCCAGTGGATGTGAAGTAGTCGCTCTCGGCACCGGGAACTTCAACGCTAAACAGTGCATTTCATCGAACGGACGGATTGTGCACGACTCGCATGCTGTCGTCACCGCTCGGAGGTCTCTTATGAGGTCATTAACACTCTTTTTTTTGACTTWTTTATGTAAGAAATGAGCACTTTCTTAAAATTAGTGGAACAGGAAAGATTCTCTTGATTTTTTTTACAGAAATAACAACGTGTGTCACTCTGTGTTGCCAGGTTTCTGTACCGGCACCTGCTGCTGTTTTTCAGCAAAAATGCCAACCTGAATGAGARAACCATCTTTCAGCACAACAGCAGCAACAACCTCCTGAGCCTGAAGAGTGGCGTTGTGCTTCATCTCTACGTGAATCAGCTGCCGAAGGGTGCATCTCAGGTTCCCTCAAATTTGTAAGTTTTCTTTTTCATTTTCTCATTCCTTTTTGTCCCGTTTATTATAGGTTTGATATTGATTTTACTGTCTGCCTTCAGTGTTTTTTTCTTATGTTGTTTTGTTTTTGCATGTGACTTTGTGGCATTTATGGGTTTCACATCATTTTTAACCTTTTTTTATTAGATATTTTTGGTCCTATGACATAAGCAACTCAAAGGAGGATTGAGATTTCATTCTTTCTGCTCTGTTCTCAGGCAGCTGCACCCTCTCTCCATTTCAGCATGGCAAGTCAACAATGAAATCAGCCTACACCTGTCAGTGGAGGGCAAGGTGCTCACCTTTTATAAAATAGTATTTTTGGTTGATTTTAAATATTCTTTGCCGCTGTGATTACTATTGATGCCGAAATAATTTTATTTTCTTTCAAAGGTTTTCTCTGTTTTCTCATCRAGTCTCCATCACTCTGCCAGCAGCATGGTCAGCATGTCCACCACAGACAAAATCACTCAGTGGCAGGTTCTGGGATACCAAGGAGCTTTGCTTAGCCACTTCATTGAGCCCATCTACGTCCAAAGCATCCTTGTAGGCAAGTCAGGTTCTTTTATGACTTAAAGGGCCTGTGACATGAAATTTTTTTTAAAAATAAATATAAAGGCATTATTGGAAAGATAACATGATTAGCATATTGCAAAAATAATTTCCCACTGCTGAGATGAACAGTTGTTGAGATATTTGCATGTGAAGGAACAGGAAGTGATGTCAAAAGGGACTGTCTGCATGGAAGAAAGCATTGATAAAACAGCTAATGACAGAGACTGTAGAGAAGAATCTGATGTTTCTTTAGATTATTGTGAGTCTCTATCAGAGGTGAAGAAGAGTCAGAGATCAAATAATATTGTTTCAGTAAACAAAGACCAGAGTTCTTTCTTGAAGAGTTCCCTTTTGATGTCACTTCCTGTTGCACTTTGGCTGAGCCAAGTTCAAAAGAAAATATGCCATTTTTGTGACAAAAATAGGTAAAACCACATGTTTTATTTAAGGTTTCCTATATAAAATTGTGTTTTCTTTGACCTTTTGTGTTTGATAGGCATGTCATGTCACAGACACTTTAAGTGTCTTTTTTTAAAGAGCATTCACTAAGTATAATCACCAAAAGTCAAAACATTAGTAGACTCATAGGCATTACTAAAGCTACCTTTGTGGCATGTTTGAATATTTTTACTGTTTCTTTATGTGATTTAAAAATGCATTATAAACTGGTTTAAAACTAGAGAAATGCCTGTGTATTGTCAAAGAACGAAGCGACAMGTTAATCTAAAAATAGGATCTCGTCTTGAGCTGCGCAGGACGGCCCTTGCTTGCACTTGTCAGCTTTTAATGTGGGCGCTCGCGAGTAGCAACAAATTCCCCAGCTGTTATCAAGATARCATCAAAAGGTGTGGCAGTATCATAGTTTCCAGGTTCGGTTTTGTTCTTATATCCCAGTATCACAGTTATAGTGGCAAAAATAGTCCATTTATTCCAGAATGAATTAATAAGGGAAATTCCAGAATTTGCACCTGTGATTTATTGTGGAAATTTTAAGGGTAAAACCCCAAAACTGAATGAGTTGGGATGGTGTAATAATAAGTTTTCATCAAGTAAATGTAAATATTGTCCAGAAGAGTTAAAGGACGTTCAGGTGGAGCTGCTGCATGTCAACAAAATCATTGAATTTAATAATAACGTCAAGTTTTTGTATACCATTTCAACCTTTTCTAGTTTAGGGCTGCTAAGTACACTTTGTAAACATTTAGGAATAAAATTACAACCAAACAGCTGATAGTGTTAGATTGTGTTGATTACTGTACTCTGAATAAACTCTTACAGGTGACTCTGGCTGCCATGAAATTCGTGGTATGGAGATCTCTGTGAGCCAGCGCGTTGAAGGAATCACCCCTCAGCTGCCCATGTTTTACTGCATGATGCGCCCGCACATCAGCCTGGTGCCCTCCGTGGCCACAGACGGCGCCGACAGCAGGGAGCCCACCTACGGGATCAACTGGAGCGAAGGAGACAGCTCTGTGGAAGTCATTGATGGTCTTGAGGGCAAAACCGTAGAAGAGTAAGAAGGCTGTTTCAAGAAATCGTATAATAAAAGTAAAATAACTTCCAATAAGAGCACCTTGAAAAATGTGTAGAGGTCTTGTTAACCTGCTTTGTTGACCTCCTGTGTTTACCCTTGCTGACATCAGGACTGAGCTGAACATTACTGATTCTCCTGTAGGTCTCCGTTCAAAAGTGGCCCGGCTCTGGCAAGCCGTCTGTGCAAAGCAGCCATGCTGCACCGCTTCAGGCTGGTGGCCAAAGAAGCCCAGAGGGAAGACCTGCTGGTCACAAGCTCCTACAGAGAGGCAAAGGTACTGGTTTTCAGTTAAATGTCACAGTTTACCCTACTTTTTATTGACAACTTTTTATCCACTTGATTCTTTTCATTTAAATTACATATACTGTATTAGTATATTTTATTTCTTATTATGGTCACATTTATTCAGCTTAAATCGCACCATTTGTGCTTGATAACAGTCATGTTTTTACAATAAATTAATAATTATGTTAATTTCACTCAACAATCATGTAAAACAGCAGATTTACACCAGAGAAATATATATAATTTATAAGTAACAATGATCTAAACCACACCTGAAGTCGGCCTGTAACTTGGACTTTAGCTAGTTGAAAAATGATGACTTCATCTAGTAATAAAGTATATTTATTATTTCTTCTTACTGTCATAAAAAATAATAATATTTATATTTA